TTTCTATTTTAGTGAAAATACGTTTTACTTTCTATAAATCAATAGTTTTCTTAAAGGATATACTGTGTACCTTCACAACCACCTTCGTGACCGACCTTAAGCTCCACGACAACCAATCTAAGAACCATCTATACCAATTTGTGCACCTTCTCTAAAGTTATTCAGACTAAAAACACCACTTATTTTGAATAGCATATTAATATTTTTCTCTCTACTAGATGATCATATATAAAGTTGATGGGAAAGTATGAAGCCCTAAAGAAGAAAAGTGAGACATCATTGGCAAAAGCTTTCTTTTTCTAGACTAGACTAATATCACAATCCACAAATCATCTCTCTTGTTGGGGGAACTATGGAATTAAAAAGTAACGTTATCTTAATTTGTAGGTCCTTAAATAAATTTTCAGATAAGCCTATGATTTGAACTCTAGAGGCCACATCGTTTAGTCGTAATAATATCCCGGTATATTCGTTAGCCGACACTTTGCTAATTAAGCTGAGAGTTTATCGGAAATAATATTTCTATCATTAAAGATAAAATCTGCAAACCCCACTTAAAGAATGAAGTACACTAAATATGTTTTTAAAAACTATATAATAAAGCAAACACTCCAACTCAACTACACGATAATTTTAATAATTTACATATTATTCATACGTCACTTTGAATTTCCTATGAATTGTCCCTAAGATACACACTCGTTGCATCAGATTGACACACTAGATGAAATTGATATTGGATGCATCAAACTGACATTAGACACAGTAAATGAAATTGATATTGAATACAGATACACTCAATACGAATAAATACATGAAATTCGTAAAACACAACATCTTTAAAAATTGTTGATTTTATCTTTGTTTAATGTGTTTCAGTTACCGAAGATATTAAATTTGGGCCCAATTAGAATAGTTGGGCCGATCCAAACCATTTTGATTTTACGGGCTGAAACCGCAAAAAAATCTCAACTGATTCGGCGTTTTGAGATCAACAAAAATACCGATGTAGATTTTATGAAAAAATAAAAATTCAAAGGAAATGATTTGTTCTTCTAGCCTACGCTTGTCCGGCACCGGCACCAGAAACAGTCCATCTCCACCGGCGAGTTCTGAAAAATCCGATGAATCTCAGTTGCAGGTGAGAAGGATTAAAGCCAGCCCTCAGCTAAACCGGTGGTCCAGAGCTCGAAGCATCCGGTCCGGCAGGAAACTAGACCGGTCCGCTGTCAGCACTGAATCACGCGACAAGTCTGGTTCACCGGTTCGTAGTGAACCGGAAATTGAGTTGCCTATGTCTCCTAAAGGTGATAGCCGGTCCGGCTCATCCGACGATGAAAAGGAGGTTAACGGAGGAAAACCGATATTTATGGTGTCTGATGGAACTGGATGGACGGCGGAGCACGCCGTTAACGCTGCTTTAGGTCAATTTGATTATTGCTTAGTCGATCGTGTTTGCCCTGTGAATACTCACTTGTTCTCTGGGGTAAGTTTGTTTATCTGATTATAATGTGGGATATGCTTTATGTCTGATTGATAATATAAATTTATCATCGAGTAAATCTGTTATCACCTTATAAATTAGTCTCATTACTATAATCGCGGGATAATTTAGTTTGCGAACGAAAATTTTGATCAAGTGTCAATGTAACCAAAAGAAAAAGATTAAAAATATAGACAAATACATGTGTGTAGTTGGTATAAAGGAAAAAAAAAGAACAGATTTACCAAGTACTATATATTATTCATAATGGCAAGAGCTAGACTCAAATTGGTAGTTGGTCTAAGTCAATAAATGGTTTGGATTGGGAACCTTGTGTTGAAAAGTAAAGCGAAACAATGTTATAATGACAATAACAAAGACAATAGTAATGATACGTTAAGATTAGGGAAAATGACCAAATTTACCACTCTAATATATTGTTCACGTTGATCCTCTGTTGTATTTTGTGGCCAAAATTGGCCCTGCTACATAATTGTGTTGACCTTTGAGTTTGGAATTGAAGTTTGAGCAGTGTTGTAAAAAGCGCAAAAAAGCGCGCTTAAAGCGAGAAGCGAGGCGAGGCGAGGCCCTTGCGCTTTTATTTCGTGAAGCGAGGCGACATTGAAAAGGCGCTCGCTTCTACTGTAGAAGCGAGAAGCGCAGAAAAGCAAAAGCGTAAAAAAAGCGCGCTTAATTTGAAAAAGCGCAAATTAGGGTTTTTTTTTTTTTTTTTTTTTGACAAGGTAACAGTTTAGGGTTTCTTTTTTTAAAATTGTAAGTTTTTTTTTTTTTTTAATTGCTGAAATCCTTATGCGACTTAATATACTCTTTGCGACTTCAAATTCTTTTTTGGACTGCTCTTTTCCTTCTTCTTCTCTGCTGCATGAGTTCTCCTTCTTCTTCTCTGCTGCATGAGTTCTCCTTCTTCTTCTCTGCTGCGACTGCTCTTCTCCTTCTTCTTCTCTGCTGCGTAAGTTTTCTTCTTCTCTTCTTCTTTGCAACTGATCTGCGATTTTTTTTCTATTTTTGGTTGCTGCCAGGTTGCCACTGCTGTAAGTTCTCTTCTTCTTCTTCTTCTTCTCCTCCTTCTCTTCTTCTCTTTGAGGCTGCTGCTACTGCTTTTTTTTTTTTGGTTGCTGCTGGGTGTTATCTATATTTTTATTGCTGCATTTTTTTTTTCCAATTTCTGTTTGCTGCTCTGTTTTTCAATCTCTATTACTGACCTGCTTTTTTTTTCAATTAATATTACTGCTCTGTTTTTTCCAATTCTTTTGCTGCTCTGTTTTCTTTCCACTTGAAGAGTTTGAGGATCTTGTTGAAGAATAGGAGTTTGATTCTTTTGTGATTTAATTATGTTTTTGATTTTTTGCTTTATATGTTATGACTTATGAGTATTATTGACTATCTATTTACTTTTAATCTAAGAATATATTACCTCTATTCAGTTATTTAATATTTTTTTATTTTTATACTAAATATCGCTTTACTTAAAAAAAGCGCGCGCTTCGCTTCTCGCTTCTCGCTTCTGTGAAGCGAGCCCTCGTCGCTTTTTTCCGCTTCTCGCTTCCCAAAACACTGAGTTTGAGTGGTTATTGTTAATGGATGCTTGGAAATCGTATAAAGCATTGACCTAGGATGTTACAATGGAAGCATTACAGTGTAAGAGCTGCTTTCCTAATTTAACATGCAAGCAATTTGTTTTGCTTTAAGCCCCTATTAACATCAGAGGTGGAGGTAGAAGCCCAGATATGCGTTCAACCGAACCTAGTAGCATTTACTCAAAACAATGTATTGTGTTAAGAAATTCAAAGTATGTATTGCTGGAGTTATACAATTGTAAACTTGATATGAATGATTCATGTGAAAAGCATTCTGATCTTGTTTTTCTTATTGTATCATCTAAAGTCTGAATGACCATGTTTACTATCTAAAGTTATCGACTAAATAATTATTTGATGTGATCTGATGACAAATATGATTAAGCTTAGTGTTGAACTTTTTATGCTTGATGGACCGTGATTTTTTTAGATTGATGATGTTGAAAAATTAATGGAGATAGTGAAGCAAGCAGCCAAAGAAGGGGCAATGGTTGTCTTTACTTTAGCTGAGCCTTCCATGGCTCAATTTGCCAAACAAGCATGTCAACACTGGGGTGTAGCATCTAGTGATATACTGGGGCCAATTACAGAGGCAATTGCTGGCCATCTTGGTGTTTCACCTTCTGGCCTCTCTCGTTGGGCTCCTGAGAGGCAGAAATCTCCTCTCAGCGAGGAATACTTCCGGAGGATTGAAGCAATTGAATTTACCATAAAGCAAGATGATGGTGCCTTGCCGCGAAACCTGCATATGGCGGATATAGTTCTAACCGGTGTTTCACGAAGTGGGAAAACACCGCTATCTATTTATCTAGCACAGAAAGGATATAAAGTAGCTAATGTACCCATTGTCATGAATATAGACTTACCCAATACACTGTTTGAAGTTAACCCCGAAAAGGTTTTTGCTTTGACAATAAATCCCGTTGTTCTGCAATCCATCAGAAGAGCAAGAGCTAAGACTCTGGGTATGGATGGAGAACTGAAGACCAACTATTGTGACATGGATTACGTGAAAGAAGAGTTGGAATATGCAGGGAAAATTTTTGCGCAAAACCCTGTCTGGCCAGTAATAGGTAATTTGCCTTCTATATTTTGTAGTTTGTACCGTGCTTTTCTGTTGTCTGATATTAGGAGTAAACCCTTACTTAACAATTAGGTGTTAACCTCCACGACTATGCCAACAGACGAATCTGAGGAAGTTAATTACTAGAAATTTTGATGATTCGTTTTCCCCATTGTTGCTTTGGTTGCAGAAGTTACGTCTAAAGCTATTGAAGAAACAGCTGTTATTGTTCTGAGACTTTACCACGACAGAAAGAACAGGTGTTCAATGCCAAGAATTTCCAAACGCTATTAAACTGTTGTTCTCAAGCATTGATGGATCAGATCTCAAAGACAATACTTGAAATCCAAGACATCTTCTTTGTGCTGGCAGAGTGCCAGAGCAATAAACGTACTGCGGTGCAACCTATGTATAGCAGGTGTTGGTACATTTTGCTTGATATTGTATAGTGCTCTATGTAGTTTGCACACATAATAGGTAATATCAACTCTTCCTGTATCTCAAATAAATATTGCAACGATATCAACTTTGAATATAGCTAATGTTGTTGCATCTTGCGTACATTTTATAAATGTGTATCATTACTACTTTGAAGTTGGCATAGGATTTCAGAAGAAACCGAGATGAGTAGGAGGCAGGAAATGAAGGAAATGTGAGAAAAATAGCAAAAGGTTGGTTATTCCTGGCTCTTCATTAAAATTTTGTGAATTTAATTTGTATACAGGGTAGTATAACTCCCGTATTTGTTATTAAAACCATTAGTCAGTATGAGAATCCACAATGAGATACCGACAACTTCAAGTTGTATCAACAACTCATCTAAAAGTTTAAGCTGTTAGAAAGAATACACTACACTTTGATTTGCTTTATTTATGTTTTCAACATGTCTTCTCATTCGATCATGTTTCCTTGTTTAATGAGCGAAACACATGATGGTATAAAAATTCTTTTGCATTGCGACTGTATTAAAGTTATACTCAAATTTTACACATCTGCCATTTGAATTCTTCCTAAAAGATGGTCTATCTGTTTTTTTAGCATCTCTTTGACTCCATTCCTTTATTTGTACTTCCAAATGTTCACAGATAGTCTTGTCACCCGAAAACCAGTTATGCTCAATCTCTTCTTCTTCGATATCATACAGACTTTTCCATCACTTTGTTATTTTAGGAGGGAAAACAGTTTTTGACGTCTTTTCTGTCAACTGAGAATGTCGTTGATCCTGGCAATGAATAGTATGAAAATAGATCAATACGAAACTTTATCTTCTCCATTGAGCTTGGTCATGGATAGTGTGAAATAGATCAGTAGTATTGTTCCCATACTTGATCTGTCAATGTAGAAAAACAAGAACAAAAAGTCAGATGCAGGATTGCCAAAGTAACGAAAATTGTACATAATTCTTGGTGAGAATTTAGGGGTGTAATTCACTCATGTTGCAAGATCGGGGGTATCTTTAGGTTCAGTTAGTCAAGTTGTAAATAGTTCGGGGATGAAACTAATATTTCACGCCGAGTTTAGGAGTGTTTTCAATACTTTTCTCTTCTATCTAACTGGTTAAGAGAACTTACAAGGTAGCAAAGAAAATAAGTATCCTTCTGGGATCAATGGTCCAAGGTGAGGAGGAAGAAGATCGTCGGAAACTGAATCTCTTGAAGACAGGTACTTTACCATCGATGGCAGTGGTGGTGGCAGCACCGCTACTGGCGGCCACCACTGATGTGTTCTGATTATGTACATGTGGTGTGGAGTGATCAGATGTTACCACCATGGACTTTTCATGCATGCTAGCTCCTAGCAAAAGAAGTTGCACTAAAAAAGTTAAGAATTTATGTCCTATATATGCTATGATGGTACATATAATCAGGTCATTTAGAAGGTAAATACGTCGATAACTTGATAAAAATAACACTTGTTCTATTTTTCTTTATTAATCCGTTGGCAACAAAGAATGATACATTCATATATTACCGTAATGAAAGCTTCTATAGCCACACATCAAGGCGAATTTAGAAATTTAGTTTTATGGATTCAATCTTTAAGATTTTAGCATGAACCCATTAGGTATTTACATATAAATTTATATTTTGTATAGAAAGTATTCGGTTCAGATGAACTCGATATTAGAAAGTTGCCCCTAGCCACACAAACATTATGGCAAGTATTAAAAGTCGGCATTCTTTCTTTTTTAAATTTCATACATAGTCAAACTATGATAAACAAAGTGACTAATATGCATGATCAGTGGCGGAGTTGGAATTTTCACTAAGGGATCAAAATATGAAGAGTAAACTCACGAAGAAGTCGAAGAGAGTTCAACATCTACTATATATACATAAAAAGTAATTTTAACCATATATAAACAATATAATTGAACCCCTAGACCCTTACTAGCTCCTATATGCATTACCATTTAAATTACACTAGTCATATATATATATAAATATTTAATCTTGTTAGTGTATATAACTTAAAAGATTATACCATAATAATGTGTTAGGTTATTACTATGCTTTACTCAATAATTCTAATGCATATGCGTTTTTTTCTAAATTAAGAAATTTTAAAGGTATGGCACTCTCTAAACTCGACCCCATTGGCAAGTTATATATCATAATCATTCTTATCTTCAACATTTTTGAATTATTGAATGGATAGATTGGACAAAATATTTTTTAATTGTTCCATTTAATTGATTTCATCAAATTGTAGCTCACCAAGAAAATCTTGGCAATCTTTAAATAGAACATTGACAAAAACATAATTCTAAGCTAATACGAAAAAGAAAAAGAATGATTCTAATGCATGTGCATCTATATTATATTAATTACAAACTAATGACGTACGTATGTGGCACGTCTAGGATTAAAGATTGGAGTAGGTAAAAGCCTCATTAAATAATTTAATTATTATAATTAGGGGCAGAGCTAGAACGCTAGGAGATAGTCAAACTTCATTACCTTGGTTAAAATCTAGTATTTGCATTTTCCCTTGATATTGTTATTCTAGAATTATAGAATTCGTAAGTTTCATATCCCTTCTATCATACGTTTGATGATAATTTGAATTAATTAATTTGGTGTAAACGTCATTGTCTAGTTAAGTACTTATCATTGAGATAACTCATTATGATGATTTAAAAGAAATTTAAGGAAACTACAAGACAACTAAGCTAAGCACTATTATTATTATTATTATTTTAAACAAAGTTTTAACTTTGAAAATGAGGATACATAGTGAATTATCTTATGTGTGAGTTGTTTAGTCAAACTAAGCATTTCGTGCAAGTGCATGGTGCATGTTTAGACACGATTAATTAATTATCACTTAATATCTTTATGATGGTCTAATTGTCACTTAAATAATACCTCTATGATGGTCAAACTATAAATCCTTCAAAATAATTATTGTTGTTATTATTATAATTATATATAAGCTTGTGATTGGAACGAAGGAAAACGTTTTGAGTTTCGATTTAGTATTTGATAAGTAAGCAGAAGATATTATCTAAATATATTTTATATTATCTTAGACAAATTAATTGATGTGGAATACAAACTTGTTTTCCCAATGAAAAGTCATTTCTCAAACTTATTTTCCTAAAAAAAATATTCTCCGAAAACTTTAACCAATCAAACATACCACCATACCCTAACATACTAGCTCGTAGCCAAGACTAAAACCCATTCTTCTAATGAGACTTTTTTACCTTGGAGAAAACGTCAAAGTGGTACTACTACAATGGTGTTTCTTTTCCATCATTAAATTTAAATACATTCAATCAACAAAAATGGAAATTTAATTAAAGGGATAATTACAATTTTTAAGCTGCCCTAAAAAATATAGTTGATAAATATAAATATATATGGCATCTTTATGTATACATCATTATACAACATACATATGTATGATCACTACTAAAAAAGACTATTTAGTGGTTATTTTCACAGATATTTAATTGTTTCAATGAAAAAAAAATCATCACAGATATTTTGATTGAATCATAAAAAAGAAAAAAATAGCATGGTGTTCTCACTTTTTCATTGAGATTCCATTTTATCACCATACATTTTCTCACTGAGTTGTCACATGAAAAACAAATGGAAAATTCATATTTTGTAACATAAAATTTCCGTTGATTCACGATGTGGATAACTCTATTTTTAGTAGCGCGATTGATGAGAGAAAAATATAGTTGGTGGCTTTAAACCTCAATTTATCATCTAAAAAAGCTTTTATCAAGCTATTATAAAGTACCTCAACTTGATATTCATAGTGAAGATTTTTTTTCTTCATTTTTTTAAAATGAAAAAAGAATTAAAAAGAAGTATTACCTTTTGGTGAAATGGCCATTAGGTTTATGTCTTTTTCATTGACATCGTTGAAATTTTGTTTTTTCAATGAACCCTTCCTTGAATGGTTTCTCTGCAACTTTTTTCATGATTCAAACCATCAGACACGCACACACACAAAATACATATATAATTCATCAAGAATATTGGAGTATATTTTTTATTTATCTTTTTGGTTTAAAGAGAAATTCATTTTCAAATTAAACCAATTAGAAAAATAATGAGTTCATATCATTCCTCATAATTTTAAAGTTAACAAGTATAAGATCTATTAAACCATGAAATGATCACTAGAAAAAAGTCAAATTCATCCTTAACCAAACATCTCAACTTTAAATTCTGGTACAAAATCATTTTTATTAAAAAACTTTTATCCTTAATATGGGATTTTTTATATACGAATTCAAATTAAATCTTGCTCTACTTACAAGTTTAGCAAAACTCAATAACTTTCTTTCAAATTTGACGTACGAAAAAACAAATAAAACGAACATCAGATGAAAAAAAAAGACATTTAAGAGAAAGGAATATGAACTTACAGTAATTCTTGAATTTGCATTTATTTCTTTTTCTACAAGATGATGAGATATGTGTTCCATGTCCACAACAAAGCTCTCAGAAACATATACTTTTTCTTCTCCAAATTTTCCCTTTAAGCTTTGAGTAGCCATATTTTCCTACAATTCAATTGGAATTGAAAATCTGAATATATTTTTATAGAGAAAACTCAAACATCATTTAACAATATAATTTTTAAATTCAATAAAACAGTTGTCACATATTTATATAACAAAACTTTGAGAGGGGATACAAAAATAAAGATTTGACCCATAAAACAAGGCTTACCATTTTTGTTGAATGAGGAGGAGTTGGAGAAACACAAGGCCTAATATAAGGAGGGCGGAACCACATGGGTGCGAGAGGGTTCATTCGATACCCTCCGATAAAAAAATATGACGTATATATAAGGTTGAATTTTTTTTTATATATATACATGATAGATGTTGAATTATTTGACTTTTTAGTTCACTTTTTTATATTTTGAACCCTCTTAATATTTATTTTTTTTTATTTTTTAATGCAATACTATATTTAATTTACTAATTCACCCTATAGTTTAAAATAATTACATATTGTCTGACTAATTAATAATATCATATTAGATTTTAAATCAAATACACCTAGATATTTGTATTTTCACTATTAGATACACTGAAAATAGGGAGAGAGGTGAACAAGAGAATGAGATAGGAGGGTGGGCGAGATAGTCCGTGTATCTTAGATACATGCAAATCACACTAAGATGCATGTATTTGGATATGAGATAACATTCCACATACAAATACATAGGGAGAGAGGTGAGCGAGAGAGTCAGATACATGAAATCCACTTGGATACAATGTATATGAATAAATTACACCTAATTAATTTTGACCTCATATATTCGAGATACATGTATCAGGATGCGTCAAATGCATGTATCTGAAGTCCAAATTCTGATAAGATTCGTAATACTGAAAACTTGTGTAAAGAGAAGTAATTTGCTCCTAAACTAGATAGATTTGTAAAAGACGCTCTCTATTAAGATTATTTTTTCATGACTTGTATTCAATTTTTTTAATTAAGTGTGGAAGGATCATATTCATCACATCATATTCACTGATAGTAGTTCTTATCATTAAATATAGGGAAAATGCATAAGTACCCCTCAACCTATGCCCAAAATCTCAAAGACACACTTATACTATACTAAAGTCCTATTACCCCCCAAACTTATTTTATAAATAATTTTCTATCCCTTTTCGGTCTACGTAGCACTATCTTCTGGGCCCAGTGCGTGTTGACAATTTTTTCAAGTTATCTGGTTGATAGTGCCACATAGGCCGAAATGGGGTAGAAAATTATTTATAAAATAAGTTAATGTGATGTGAAGCTGAGCTACTGTCAGTTAGAAGTTAGTTAATGTTAGTTAGGATGTTAAAAGTGAAAGGATAGATCAGTCATTTTACCGTAATTAGTTGTAACTACCTAGCATAGAGTTAGTAAGATCAGTTACAAGTCACAGTAAGAGAGTTATAAATACTGTGACTCACTCAATGTAATCTTCTTCTTAATACAAAATATCTGAGATGCTCATGGAGCTCTCATTGTTGCTCTGATTGAGCTCTTTCGTTTTACCTTCATGGTATTAGAGCAGGGCCTGTCTCACCCGATGTTGGGGCCTCCAAAATCAAAATTGCCCACGCACCAAATGCTAAGCACTGGGCGTGAGGTAGGGTGTTAAAGAATGACAAAAGTCTCACATTGATGGTTAATAAGATGGAAGGACTCCTTATAAGGTTTGGGCAATCCTCCTCCCTTTGAACTAGCTTTTGGGGTGTGAGTTAGGTCTAAGACCTAATTTAACATAAGTTCGGGGGTAATAAGACCTTAGTATAATATAAATGTGTCTATGGGATTTCAAGCATAGATTGGGGGGTACTTATGCATTTTCCCTTAAATATATAGCACTTTTGAAATTATGATTTCAAAACTAAATAAATACCAAATTTTTGACAATTAGTTTTGGATCTAAGTTATATACATTAACGGTGTTAATAAAGTTTTATGTTGTATATTAGTAAATTCTTAACTTAGGATAGTATGTTAGCTTCCATTTTACTAAGTTCATATTTAATAGTTATTAAGAAATTTATCTGTAATTTTCTGATAATTAATTTTACAATATAAATAGTACGTAGTAGTTTTTTTATGTCCATAAAATTTTAAAAATTATTTTTTTCTCTCTATATATATATAAATACTAAATTGAACTAGACTCCATGTGCCTGTTTGGAAGGTGTTACCAACTTGACTATCTAACTTGGAAATCATAGTTAGTTACCTGATGGATTTGACAACATAACAAACATGTTAAGTTCAAATAAGTCTACTTACCCTATTTACAAATAAAACAATTAATTTCTAAATTCTAAAGTTTTTGTTAAGATTATGAGAAAGAAAGAAAACTTTATTTGCAAGACTCCATTCTAGGATGTAGTCAGGTAAGATCAAGAGGGTTCGGATGAACCTCGACATAAAATTATATTGTTTAAAAATTGTTAAAACTATTTCTTTTATAAATATAGATGTTCATTTATTTTTCAATTATTCATGTGTTTTCTTCTTTATATTTGAACCTATAATAAAAATTCTAATTCCACCATTTACGTCACCTAATTTTTCTTTATTCATTTCTTTAACGCAACTTATATTTTGGGTATTAAAAATAACTTACTTACCAACCTAACACGTAATGGGAAAAGTCTCTTTAATTTTCTCTGCTAATTAATGTTCTTTAATTTCTTCTTGTTTCTTACGCAGAAAACACGTAATTAACTTCGATGTATAATAGAGTTGTAGACACATAAATATAGGTATACTATTTTATTTAGCTTTTAATAGAAAAAATGTCATGTGACACACAATAAATTTAGGAACAAAAATATATAAATTTAGGGATGGAGGGTGCTCAATCAACTGATCAACCCTCACACCCCGAAGACACTTTTTATTACTTTCTCTGATCGATTTTACTTGTCATGTTTTTTTCTTTGCATATCCTTTATGATAAATATTAAGTAGGGAGTAATTCGATTAAATTATTCTTATTTATTACCATTATCTATTTAATCGTGATTTACTTTGCAACACATAGAAACTTCTATATATACGGTGTTTCATTTTCTTCAAATTTATACTAGTTTTTGTTTAGATTACAAAAATAATTATATCGTTCATATTTTTCTATTAATTTTGATTATATTATCCAAAATTAATTGAACAAAATTCAAATATCCAGATGAATATTATAAATAGATGGCTTACGCATTTTTCTTATATATAATAACTTTGGTTAAATCACCTCCAACGACATTTTATAAAAAAAAATAAAAAAAATAAAAAAATGTACATGTGTGTGGCTGCTGGGATTCGAGCCCAGGTCTCCACGGCCACAACGTGGAATTCTCACCACGAAACTACAGCCACATTATATTCAATATGATTGGATAATATTTAGTTTACTACTTTTTCTTTTATGTGTAAAACAATAATAAAAAATAATATAATTTACCTAAATCCCATAGTATTAAGAGTTAATTACATTATTTCCCTATTCTTTTCCAAATTACAAAAATCTCTCAAAATTTATGAATTTCGAATACATCACTGGACTTCCGGATACATTAGCAAACATTTGGATATATAGGTGACTGGTGAGAGATGTATCCGATAGGGGAGGGATGTATCAGAGATGGGATAGTACATTGGGATACATCACTGGACTTCTAGATATATCAGCAGACATTCTGATTATCCGAGAGGGGGATAAGGATGTATCAGCAAGAGGAGAGTAATGTATCCGAGAGGAGAGTTTTGATTTTTTTTAAATGCTAGAAAATTTTAAAGATTATGATAAAATAAGATGTGTATTTAGGTATTTTTTTCCTAAATCTAAATTATCCCTATTATAACATGTTGCCTTTTTCAGTGAGATAATATCTCAAATGGTCACTCAACTAAGAGTTTTTATCTTATAAAGATACTCAACTAAGGGTTTTTATCTTAGAAAGTCACTCAACTTTATTTTATAACTCAAAAGTCACTCAACTATAAAAATTTCGCTTAGAAAGTCACTCAACTATCAATATTTCACTCAGAAAGTAAGTTATGGGCTAGTTTATTACAGGTTGGAGACACGCAAAAGAGAAACCTATAGGTTTTGGTGACACAAAATCCAAATGATGATGGTTGAAATAAAAAGAAAGCTACCTACACAAACAAATAATCACTTTGATGAAGGTCCCATGTATTAATCATAATTTTTAATATTTAATATATACATTAAAATATTGTGTGAAAGAAAAAGTCAACGCCCCGTAATAAAATCACTTTAATAGTATCTATTTAATAATATAATTTTTTAATATATACATTAAAATATATTATGAAAGAGAACGTCAACGCCGGTGTAATTAAATCCTTTTAGGATACAACCAAACCAACTCCAAAAACCAAGCAACACAAAGCTATCAATGTATCATCATCCTTTATAGTCCTAATTTACTAATGCCAAAAAGTCAATGGATCAAAACCGAAGATGAACAAATCTTATAAGTTGCGTCCGGAGAGGATATAATATATGCAGATTTTATCACTATCTTATGAAAGTAGAAAAGTTATTTTTAAAAAACTGTTAGCTCAAGTGCAGCAAGGACTTCCAAGACCTTATAAATTATTGTGATCTTCTAGATATGGGTTATAAAGGTAGTCGTTATACATGGTTGAATAAGCGATATAAAAATAAACGCTCCCTTATCTTTGAACGTCTAGATCGTTTTTTAGCAAACAATGAGTGGTTGCTTGGCTATCCAGATGCACAGGTCCAGCACCTACCTCGAACCCACTCAAACCATTGCCCACTTCTACTATCTTTAACAAGGGAGGTGGGGTATCTTAGAAGGAGGTCCTTTAGGCTAGAAACAGTGGCGGATCCAGGATCTTAGGCTTGTGGGTGTTCACTTCTCTTATTATAAAGTTACTATAAATGCATTGTATAACTGTATAAGTGTACAACTATTTAAACATTATAGTTAAAAACTCTTCATTTCTTAGAAAAACTAAGAAATGAAGTCCAAATTTTCCTAGCTTCTCTTACCAATTATAACTAATAATTTACTCTTGCA